CTTAAAAAGCTCTCTTAAAATCTTCTCCATATCATCTTGCTCTTAGTCATAGAAAAACAGATGAAAACAAAATTCTTCTGGGACTCTTCATTATGAACTGTTTGACTTGATAGAGAAAACAATTTTCTATGCATTTCTACTGTCTAAGCAGCTTGTTGATACTTCTCCAGAAGCCTATTTGTCTTTGTATTCATTAGATCTCAGCAGTATATCCAAATCACTCCACTTTTTGTTACCTGCAGGACCAGAAGTTTGGCTTTAGCTTTTCCAGCTGTCTTTGCTCAGACCTTGCAGTAACTTCAACCAGGTGCAGTGAAAGGGAATGGTTGTGTTGTATCATTGCCTGCTCAAGGGTCTGAGCTATAGGTGGCTCTTGGATGAAGGAAGAAGCAGTCAGTTTTATGGGGAGAGAGGGAAGTATGGGCTGAGGTAACCACAAAAAGTTTTTGGCTTCACTAAGAATTTTGTTGAATTAGGTACCACAGAATTTTGTCCCATATTGCCTAGACTGTTCGAAGTCATCTTTGAAGTCATCTCCAAACATCTGGAGCCTTTTGTTTTTATGACATTTCTCTTAGTAACAGACTTGGAAATAGCTCATCGAGCATAATGACAACAGGATGTTAAAATATGGTGTTAATGCCTCTTCTGAGATGCTTATGTCTATTTTGTAGCTGATAAATTCCCTGGGCTAAATTACACCCTTGGATAGGAAATGGCTATCACAAAAACCAATGGGAGTCTGATACAGTCATCAAGGGATGATAAGTAGCCCTCAGGGAAAACAATATAAACATATATCTTCTTCTACTACTTGATCCAACTAATTAAGAAATCAGAATGTGATAGAAAAATGTTGATGGTGAGCAGATGCATTTGTTGAGTGATTAATGCCAGTCCGGTTTCTAAAGCTAACATATACAGCAGACTACTCAATATTTTGCTATGAACTTTAGAAGTCTAATTAAGTGTTACTACCAATTCTCTGTAAATCACCAGAAATGTGGCAAGTATTTTGCTAAAGGTCACCTCTGTATTTTGCATCTGTTTAGGTGCATCGATCTCATTGGGACATTGCATTCTCCCTGTCTGTTATGTCTGCATATTTTTCACCTTATATTTTAAATTTTTCAGGAAATTATAGAAGTGGCTGTGATTCCAGCTGCCATGCACACCACAGGTGGGATTCACTGATTTTAGACATCTGTGGTATAAAACAGTCACTCCAAGGTGTCCATTTATTCAACACATCAAACAGGTTAGTCCAGTTAGACAAACTGGGTTAGTCACACGAGAAAACTGGTAACTGAGAGACATTAAAATTAAAGCTCCTAAGGAGCATGAACTTGTCAATAATATGCAGATGGTATTTTTAGTCTCATATTTAGGTTGTTGAGAACTCTAAGTAAGCATTGAGTATCAGATCTGCCATAATTCACTGAATAAAGAGATGTGCTTAAGTTAGGCTACTTAGATTAGAAAACCCTCCTCCAAAGCTGAAATTCTACCCACAATCATCAGTGTTTTATGTTTTACAGCTTCTGGTGTCTTGCTGTGTGCCATGACATTTCAAAACTGAATACATCAGCGAGCAGTTTAAGAATATTTGCAAAAGAGATTCATTTCCTTGAGCTGTCATAGACCCAATACAGTTTTCACAAATTGTCATTGTTTTTCATATTTATGCACATTTCCTGATTTCTTGACAAGATACCTACCCCTCAAGGTGACCTGAATTCACTTGATTCCAATTGTGTGTTTACCTTTCAAATTGAGGGTATATGGAAGCATGATCTGAAGAGAAAATTTAAAACTATTTGTCTGCAGCTGAGACAAGAAGCACCAGGAAAAAAGTGCCTTGTATTTTTTCCACCCACTGGAACATATCAGTATCCACATGGTCTGTGGACTCGACACATAAGAGATTATTTTGCTTTTATAAATTCAATTAAATGTAAGAGATTGCTGTTGATATTTGTTTAACTCAATGGTATATTAGTTGTAAGCTTCCACAAAAATACCTGTCAAAGACAGCTGGAGCATTTTGAACATCTATGTCCCATATTAGTGCTATAACCAATGATGTGAATTAGGAGCATCCTTACAAGGCTTTATGTCAAGTCTCTGAAACCAATTTTACAGGGAAGTAAATCTGACCTGCGTGCTGGAAACACATTGCTCTGCAATGTATTTTATATGTCAAAAGTTGGACCCAATAATGAGTCAATGCTTAGAGTTCAGTCATAGTGGGTCATCTCCTCAAGACAGAGAAATAAATTTCTCAAACCAGCAATGACCCAAAAGTCCTGCTTTTTCTCCGAAGAGTCCAAGGGCATAGGGAGCCTGTGAAAGGTATAACATCACTGCATGTAGAACTAAATCCACCTCTCATCATGAAGGTGATGCTGGAATAATCCTTAAAGTCCAAAAATAGAAGTTAGTAAGGCATCACTTTTAGATAACAGTGATGATAAACACAACCATTTCTTTATTCAATAGTCCCTTCAATTAATGCTAATTAGTTTCTTTCTGCACTTTTGAAACAGGCATATTTAAGACATTTGATGAAATAAACCTGTGGAGAATAAATAGTTGATATGTAATCATATTGATGTCATTTGCTTTAGCAATAGGCTTTCTTCTTTAAGAAACCAATGTCCTGGAAAACAACTGACTTGGGATAGAAGCACTGTGTCCTTATAAGATTTGTCTGTGGTCTTTCATGTCTTTCTCTGTGCTTTTCTTTAGCTCTCTCAAGGTCAGACTTAAAACTGAATATTCCTGAAAAAAAAGAAAAGAAAAGAAAAGAAATGAGCACTGTGTAATGAGATAGGTTGCTGAACTTATATAAAAAAGCATTTCATCTCAGACTGGGACCCTTTCATTCTTTAAAATACTTTGTTTTGCATCCAGTGTTTTTTTTATTGTCATGGGAACCCAATTACTTTGTAGAGCAGTCGATTTCCTACATCCCAGTGACTTACAGAAGTTATTTGTTGGATCAGAATTGGCCCAAGCAGGAGAAACTTCTGACCTTCCTGACAAAACAGATCTTCTTAGAAGCACAACTGGACTTTGAAGAATAGGCAGAATTAAAAATTGAATTTTTAGTTGACAGAGGTTGTAGTAAACTGTTTCTTAGGGAATCCAAAGTGGAGTCGGTGCCTACTCAATTCCAGAAAACAAGGTTTTGGAAACAAAGCTCCCTGGTCCCTCCCCAGCCCCCCCCATTGCAATATAAAGTTCATATGCACTAGAAGCTGCACTCTAATAGCAGTTTATAAGTCTTAGCTGTCTCATCTCTTCCTTTTATTTAGGTTCACATCTTCACTTCCTTTAGAATTGCACAACTCCCCTTTTCCTATTCACCAGCTAGTAAGCTGGTGAACGTCTTACATACAGAACTGCAAGTATGCTCACTCAGAAAATTGAGAGATTTTAACAAGAAGATAGGGTAGCCTGCAAGATGGGGCAGGGTTTGGCCCAAGTTGTTAACCAGCCAGTTGCTTACACATAACAAGCTTCTTTTATTCTCCCTTCTCCCCCATTTTCTCAAGCTTGTTCTTTCCCAGCCCATCTTCATCTCTCTTTTTCTAGCTCCATGTCCTCCCAAATAAACAACTCTCTATGTTACTTTTCCCTCTTGGTCTCACTTTTGCTACCTTTACACCCAAACTAGGTATCTCTGATGCTGTTACCTCAATCATTTCAGCCATACCAAGCATCTCTAAAGGGTTTCCTAGACCTTACCACCTCAGTTCCCAGAGGTCCCCAGTACCCCCTTACAGGTGTCAGTGGGTTTGGTTGTTTCTCATACAATTCCCCCTTAAATACCTGCAAAATTTGGCCATCCTTCATAGTGTTACCCATGACTATTGTCATCTTCTTCTAGTTGTCACTCTGGTAGTTTTTCATGGTCTGTTTAGCTAACTAAGCCTCAGGCCAGGACCTGGTCATCAGCTTGCCTATCTCACCAGGGACATTTTTATTGAGGAAGAGTCAGCTTTGAGGATTAATTTTCACAGTTTCTTTTTTTTTTTTTTTGACAAAGAGTATTCTGGAGACAGATTTCTGCATGCTGTACTATTGTATCTCCTTGACACTTAACAGATTGAATGACCTATAGTGCAGGTAATACTCATTTCACTTAAATTTAAATACTCATAAATAAGTCATCCAAACGGGCTAAATCAAGGTGACTCCTGTAAATTCTTCACAGGTAATAAAGAAAAATAGACAACTCTAATTTACTTTCATCCCATCCTATAACCAGTGTCTTAAGAGACATTGACTAGTCTTCTGAATGGAGCATACATTGACATATACTTTTTATATACGTGACCTCAGGTGCAATAAATTCAGTCCTAAGTGTATTCAGAACTGATTATTCATCTTCATCCTTGCACATATTAATTAGAGGTAATTTTTCGTTCACTAGTTTTTCAGGTTAAATGATTCTGTGATCTAGATTTGATTACTGTTCCAAGTTTGAAAGATCCTCCTAAAATCTTTCTCAAATTCTTTGCTTTGCAGGAATAATAGATCTGAATCTTAAGCACTTGTACTGCATCCATAGTGGAACCCTCATAATACCTGATTTAAAGAGAGGAATTGCATTTCAAGAACAAAATGACTCCACTGAAATTAATACATCAGTTACAGTAAAAATATAGTAGCCATTCTGGATAAAAAATGCCTTGTGCAGAGTTTTTCCCTCCATTGCTATGATAAACTCTATACAACTGTACTTCTGAGTGACAAAAGAAATGCATAAATGCAGGCCAGATAAAGGAATACAATATAAAGGCAAAAAGTATTTTCAATCAAGTTTCTTACACCAAAAGTCACAGCATTTTCTCTCTTTTCCAGTCCAGCATTTTGGAAGAGCCTTTAAATGAAATTCCAAGTCATCCAGTTTCCCAAGTAAAGCATTTGCAAATTCTGCCTAAAACACAATTAATCTCCCAATGATTATTATGACACAGTTTTCACATTTGAGCAAAGGGGCCTCTTTTCTTTGGCACTGCAAGATCTCTCAGACAATAAACCAACACGTTCAACCTGTAAATTGAACAAAACCAGAGGTGAGATGTATAGCTAAAAGCAAAATAAGTCCAGTTCAAACCTGTGTGAGAAAGAACCTGAAACAGGAACTCTCCTATTCTCCATGTCTTTCAGCGCAGATAAACAAAAAGGTTTTGGGACTGAAGGTGTTGGCTGGGGTTTTTCTTTATGGTAGTATCTGTGCATCTATCTTTAGGACAGTTGGGTAAATATGAACAACACTTATCTTTGGGCCACAATATATGAATGCAAAACACACAGAACTGGAAGGTAAATATGTACTTCTCCTTGTAAAACATCACATAAAAATTCCTCCTCGGGATTTGTGGATATTTTCTATAAACATATATGTGCATATACTGGTCCATTTCCAGCTCATTTTAAAGGTTTTTATTTGAAAAGAATAAAAATTTCATACTTTAAACAAAAGATTTTTGGATCCAAGCATATTACTTGTAAATTAATTAATTTCTGAGACATAGCTTCAGAGTACCACAAAAGATGATTATTCCCTTCTCTCACAGCTGTGAATCTGAAGCAATGACAGGTAAAATTTGGAGGAGAGACAGGAACAGATCCACGAGTTCCTGTGGATCACAACCATTAGTTGTTTCCTTGATCTGGCCATTCCACAATCCCAAAATGAACAGGAAGATATGGTTTGTGCAGGGTGAGGTTCTGCTAAGACCATTCTCATCTGGTACCCTCTTCTAGTCTCATCTGGTATCCTCTGCTACAAATACTAGGTGAGACTATCTCATCAATAGATAGATACTGTTCTGGTTGAATGAGATAGAAATTCAGCAAGAACTTCAAACTCTTTTCATGCTAAATTGAACTCTGAATCACCTGTACCTGAAGTGTTGAGAAAAAAACAGGTCAGTACACTTTGCAACTGTTTTTTAATGATATGTTTTACACTGTTAACACAAAAAGAATGTTTACTTTGTAAATAATTTTTTGTTGGTGCTGTCTTGAGAGTAATGGAGTTTAATTTTCAGTGACTTTTTCTTTGGTTTGGGTTGGTTGGGTTTTTTAGTTCTGAATGTGCAAGGCTTGAAATGCATCTATTAAATATTACCAACTTCAAGGCACTGGACTAAAGATAAATGAAGCAAGTGGGGAGAACTACTTTTAAAAGGCAACAACAAGAAGAGGGCTTACCGGGCCCCTGGGGAGAATCAAAGGTACGATAATCTTCAGAAACGAGACAAGGTCTGACGCAAAGTCATGAAGCTGTTTGACATCAGAAGATTAGATTTTATCTACACTTTGTCCTTTTTAGAGCAAGATTTAGAGTTAAAAAAAACACGTGATGGAAACTGGCAAAAAAAGAAACATGAGCAAACAAGAAGATCACTTAAAACCTGACCTTAAAAGCTCTGATTAGGACTTCTCTTATTCTTTCACTGTGTGTCACTTGTCTGTTCCTCTTCCTGTGAATTGCAGTCATGTGAATACAGCTCTAAGACGCCTACCATCAGATAACCAGCACAGCCTAGTTTTCAAAGTGATTAAACTGTTTTGATTTACATTTCTTCATAAAATACTGCTAGATTAATTTTGTATCAGTAGGTTACGAGTGGTTTCTTTCCACCACATGACTAAAATCATGGTGTTATTGCATGTCTTCCACAGACTGAATTATTAAAAAAAATTTTAAAAATCATGCAAACGAGCTTTCAGGTTGACTCAGCAGAAGTATGACTGTGCGAAATGTTTTCCTGACTGGTCCAGTGGTAATAGGATCAATAGCTGATCCTATTGCTGTTCAGGGGTGACCTATGCTGTTCATGGTTTGGCAACACAATTTCTGTATCACCTCTACATTGTCCATACAGGTTGTTAAAGAGCCTTTGGCCTCTTATTCCCTTGTCTTGAGTAACTAGTACTGTACTTAGGACATTAGAAAGACATACCCTGGAAATCCCCTTGCAATAAGTCTTGGAATAGCTCTGATGGATAGAAATATCTTGTATTTATTAGCACCATTTGTAGAATTCAATGATAAGCAAAAAGCTCCTTGATGGAACAATTTCAAACACTGCATCTAGATAAACGAAGACATAGCCCCAGAGGATAATGAATCCTGCATCCACCCCACTCATCTTTAAACACCTAAGAGTAGATCCATAAAGCTAAACAACGAGTGTAAAAAAGGAAGCTGAAGCACTGGACCTATGTGGTTTGTACTGCTGGTTAACTTTCTCTCCTTCTGGGTTTCCTTTGGACAATTCCAACTAGCTGCCTCTGTGAAACACCTGCTACAGAGAAAGACGAATCCAAACAATGTGAAGATGAGTTAGTAATATATAATTGATTAAGCAGTACTGACAGTTTCATTTAGTCACTCAAGTTGGTCACATGTTGAATACGTTCAGTAACAATCTCTGAATTCTAGGATCTGGGATCTGATTTCCTGTCTGATGGTTTCTTCTCCACTGACGAAGGATAGGAATGTACTTTACAAACCTGTATTCCCAAATATGGGTTCTTTCAAACACTGTGCAAGATGACAAATCACACACAGAGTTATTTGAGCTTATTTAATATCTGTGCAGAGATGGGTGCTAGGTGATCAATCCACAAAGGTAACACACCTTCAGCATCTCCTGTATATACAATAACCTAAAGCTACAGTCATTGGCTTTTTGTTCTCTTGTCTCAGTTTAAACATAAAGATATTGTAGACAATGATTTTACTATACATGGTCTAAGAGGAAGGAGCTTATGTGAGTAAGGGGCAATCAGCCTATCAGCAGGTATTTTATTGAGCTAATGAGCAAGAAGTTCAAGCAAAGTTGTTCTTTGGTTTTGTAAATTGATTTAAAATGTCCTCCTGTTCTTACTTCTTGGGTCATGGCTCTTGGTTCCTTCAGATTTGGTTATTCCCTCATTTTTCATAAGTTCTTTTACTTGTCTTGTACTACAGTGAATTTTTAACCTTCTTATGGCACTTTATTCAACAAACCTACATACCTCATTTAAGCACATAATTGGCATTTATCACATTGTTAATAACACACTGGCAAAAAAAAAAAAAGTATAAATATCATCTCTCCAGTTAGCTAATGGATGTTCATCAAAATTAAAGGCAGCAAATTCCCTAGAGCAAACACACAAACAGCTGCCAGCACTGTTACACAAGTTCTGTGTCTTGTGATAAGCATAAGAAACTCTTCAGTCTGAGTGTATGAGCAAAACCAGTGCAAGAGGCAGTAGAAAGCACTTGCAACATTTCTGTGAAATCATGTAAGAGACACTTTCTTCTCAAAGGCAGTGAACTGCACTGCACAGTGAGCAGCACTGTTTCAGAGGAAGTGGTTGCTGACTGCTGTTCCCAGAACCATGAATCAAGAGTTAATCATCCTCCTTAAGTCAGTCACAAGGCATTGTGACTGACTTAAACCACAAGCTGTGGTTTGAAGGCCTCGGCTCAGAAGCTCAGAGAACTTTTCTGAAACCTGGCTGTAAGTTAGCTTAGTGTCTTTGCCTATTTTGAAGTCATTTAACTTGAGGAGGAAGAGTTTATGTAATTAGATCTTTTAATCATAAATGAGGGGTTTGTATGAAGCGTGCATCACATTTTTTTTTTTTGACAAAATCTACAAAACTATCTGAAAAAGAAATACTAGCGTATTTATTATGTTTGCTCTCTGGTTACAGTTGTCTTTCCTCTTTTCCCGGTTCATTACTAAACCCTCATTTTGCAAAGCTACTTTCATAGAGTTCTGCTCTGTATTTACTACATAGAGCTTACCCCTTGCTCCTTTCTCTGGTTTCTATTATTATACCACAGTTATCATCAGCATACGAAGCCAGTTGTCGGGTTCCAAGAAACATTTTATTTGCAGCTAGGCTTGTATATATGCATGAAGCACCAGTGAATGAATAAATTTCATTATATTTTACGCTATCACAGTCAGAAAATAGATGGATGCTGCTTGAAAAACAATAGGCAACAGGTCAGGAAAATCTATAAACAGTATTGAACAGAGCTGGCTAGTGGAAATGCTGTGAATTCATGCAGTTTGGCCCTTTGACTCTCACAATAAATGCTGGGTATTGTCTCTGGGAGGGGAAGGTAATGGATTGGGCTGCAGCCACATCACTATGCTTTTGATAAATATATGTCTTTGAGGAAGATTTTGGCTCTCGAGTAACAGGTGGAGATCACATTCCTCTACCATTTTTCCCTGTTTGGGACCATCTACAAGAACATGTCTAGTTTTCCCCTTGATGAATCGAAATGTTAAAGCAATGCCCAGCTCCCCATATGGTGAACTTGCATGTTTATATATTAGTGGTACAAAGTCACATGTGGATTTTTTTGGCTTAGTCAGACTCCCACATGCACTTCCTCCAGCCATCCAAATTAGGTGACTTCACTACATATGAAGTTGCCATAGAAGCTGTGCTCTGCTAAACATGTACCAGGTGTGCGTAGCTCTCACTATTGTGAATGAGAATTGCATGAGCAGTTCAAAGGAAGATGAAATCCCCTGAGGTTGTTACTCCAACTTGTTTTTCAAAATATAAATTACTGTCTCTGTGCTTCATCACTGCACATTTTATCTGGAAACAAGATCATTTTGTCATTAAGGTCTTGGCTGGTAGCTCATTCTTTAGAAAAACATATGTTCATTTTAATTTTTTGAAATAAAACCAATTATGTCCCCAACACAGGATGGACATCGACCAGTTGGAACGAGTCCAGAGGAGGGCCATCAAGATCATTAGTGGGATAGAGCACCTCTTCTACAAGGAAAAGTTGACAGAATTGGGGTTGTTCAGTCTGAAAAAGAGAAAGCTCCAGGCTGACCTAGTTGCAGCTTGCCAGTACCTGAAGAGAACCCACAAGAAAGATAGAGAGGGACTTCTTACACTACAATTTTTGTGTAGTGACACAAAAAGGAGGAATGGATTCAAATTGAAAGAAAGTAGGTTTAGATTAGGCATTAGGAAGAAATTTTTCACTTTGAGGGTGCTGAGGCACTGGAACCAGTTGCCCAGAGAAGTTGTGGATGCCACACCCCTGGAAGTGTTCAAGGGTAGACTGGATAGAGCTCTGAGCAACCTGGTCCAGTGAAAGATGTCCCTGTCCACAGCAGTGGGGTTGGAACTAGATTATATTGAAGGTCTTTTCCAACCCATATTTTAACTGAAAACAATCTTTCCCAGTTGTATCCTGGGACCATGTTCTTAGTACCCTAAAAGTCAGCAAGACCCATAACTGTGATATGATTCCAGATCCATGAGACAAAGATCCAGTAGCAAACAGGACACTGAGACTTTATCAGCAAGATCCATGAACTGTACAACCACTCAGCCCTCCGACTCTTCCCAAAATGAGATGGCAGTAAGCGGGGTAGCAACAGGAAACTTCGCACCTAATTGTTTGCACCAATTCCCATGGTGTCTTTTGCTTCTGCTATTGAGCAATGGGAATGTAAAATCTCAGTGTGTTGGGGCTTCATATCCTTTCTGTACCGGTGAATGTAAAAAGCGTAGGAACATCCAGACCAAGGGAGTTTTAGTTTATAGCACTATTTTTATCTATAAAATAAATAAAAAAACACACTATCAAAACAATCATCCACTGATAACCTTCATGAAGGGGAATCTCTAGGAAGAGAAATAACAATTCAGGAAAGAGGTTAATTATGCGCTTTCATGCACTACTTGAAAGAGTTCAGCTATTCTAATATAAATAGCCCAGATTCTTCTTTATATGCTTCATGTCTAGTTTGTATTCTATCAAACATCCTGCCAAAATTCAGTTTGAGTAGAAAACCATTTTGCAAGGTTGCACAAAATCAATTCAGAAGTTCTTAAAATTAAGATTACTTCAGAATTATTTTTTTCTGCATGCAAAAAGAAAAAAGAAAAAGCTTTCAAGCTTAGTCCTTATAGTGAGATCTTTTACTCTCTGTTAATGAGTGATTCCAAGCCCCTGTGCTTCCACCCACACAGAAAGTGACTGTTAACGTCATGTTAACCTAATAGACTTTGTCCAGCCAGGCTGGTGGGTACCACAGCTGCTTCTTGCCAGCCAAGAACACAAAATAAGTGGGTGTCAATGGATTAATTGCTGCTTAGTCCCTTTCAGCAGCAGCTCTCTGCATGACCAGAGGATGGTATTTTAAACCCCATGCACTCTGCTTTGCCTGAGGTTTGGGAACAATACTTGGCACTGTGCTCTGTTTTTGTGTTTCATGTGCCAGGCTTTCCTTGCAAGGGAGGGAGCAACAGGAGTGCTCAACTCAGGTCAGGTAGGGAGAATATCTCTTCAGCTGGAGCCAGAGGGAATTCTCTGCTCTCAGAAATATCAGTGTGCTTCTCAAGGGCTGCTCAGTAATGTGCCAGGAAAACTCAGGAATTCAGATATCAAGTATAATTCAGTATCACTTTGGCATTTTAGTGCTACATAATATTTCAGGGAGAAAAATGCATAGCATAGCATAGCAATGCACCCCCTTCTTGAGAAGGAGAGTTATACTGAACATTAAATACATGGAAACATGCTTGGGTTCACATCTGTCTGGAAGCTTAAAGCTATTCCCAAAGGATGAGAAATTGCAAGTTTTAATATATAGTTGGATTATCAGAGCACTATAGTTCATGCTCATGAGCATGGACCTACATCCACTTTCCCAGATGCCTGTGGCAAACTTTATGCCATGGGTAACCACCCCTGCCCCTCCAGCCTCAGCCTGAGCTCATATGCCAGGCTGTGGTCTAGCAAGCCTGTACTGTGTGTGGGTTGGACGTGTGTATCACACATGTCTGTCCTGCCAGCCAGCTGAGATAGCAACATTAACACCGGTGAGATCTGTCAGAACCCTAAGTTATACCTTTTTCCTTTCTTTTCCCACCTGTTATTTGTCCCAAGTGTCTTTTTAGGTAACGAGGTATCCAGGCATATCAGCTTGTCTCGAGCCTCCAGATTCTGTCAAGATGTTAATAATCACTCTTCAAACTTCTTTGAGGGCTATGTCTAAAAACAAAATGCTGGTCTTACTTGTTCTCCCCTTATGGAATTTCCTGTTTTTCTTTACTTTGTGCCTCATGAAACCAGTTAGAACTTAACTTTGTGGCTCTACCCTCCCCAGATGTAGCGAGCTCTCTGCACAGGCACAACCCCAAGGCCTCAACTGTAAGCTAATAACTAGCAAAACTATAGATGACCAGTAAAGAAGAAATTGATCTAGTGTTGATAGCACATGTACATGTCTTCTGATTTTGTTTTTTCATGCTTCCTTAAAAACAAAACTCAGAACAAAACCAGCTACCGCAAAATAAGTGAAGAAGAAACACTGAAGTGAATGTCATCCTGGACAACATAAATGAAATATATTGCAAAACTAGTTATGAGAAAGCCCTTAGTCTGCAATATGCATGTTTTTCTAGACAGACTCTTGCTCAATAATATGTGTCAAACTGGCTAAAAATTGCACTATGATCTTCCTACAATGAGGGCACGTGCTGGATTTCACAGATTTTAGTTTTTAATGCCAATGATTAAAAAATACTTCCTACTAGGTAAGGGGCAGTCAGAGGATTGTAAAAGCAATCCTGACTGTTTAAATATTTTAACACATCACACACACCTCCATACTTTTGGGTACCTATTCTGACCTCCAGCTTCCAGTAGGACTTGATTTCATAGCACACTCAGCAAAGAAGGCTCTTCGCATTCTGTGTTCAGCAGTTCTTCCACAGGCAAGGAGGTGATTACCTAGAAGAGAAGAGAAGAGGATCTAAGTGAGAGGCAGAGAACTCAGGAGGTAGAGAAACAAGTATGAAAACAAGAATGGGCATGAAGAGCAATGAGCAGGCATGTCACACTGCGAAAGAGAAGCCTTGCTCCTTTTGCCTTAGTTAAGCAAAAAAAGCAATAAGATCACTTGATCTGGCATTTATTTGGACAGAAGTATCATTTATTTTTGTAAAAATGAAATAGACAGATTTACTGCCTTCTGATTCAAAAGAGCCTTTGGAGATCCCAGAGCAGGGACTGCACTTTGTCTCTCCTGTGAATGGGGGAGGACAACCTTGTAGCAGAAATATCACCCTGAGCTGACAGCGATCTGTTTGCAAAACCACTGCAGGTTCACAGTCATCAACACTGCTAATATCAGTACAAACCTCCCAGCTGAGGTTTCTTTCTTCCCTTTACAAGTGTATCAGGTGGAGGATTAACCCTTCCACTCTCAACTGCACAAAGCTGCACTCACTGTCACACAGAAAATTCTCGCAGTACGGACCTTACAATGTCCCCTCCACCCCAAGGCCTCATACCAACCAAAAAGCAAAGCATCACACACAGGATAATCCCACCAGGTTGACAGGACATACCAGAAAAACTCCAGAGAGCTGTGTTTCAGAAGTCAGCTGGATTCCTTGCTGCCCAGGAGCTTGAGAGCAGTGCCAGAAGTTCAGGTGTATGTCAGGGTGTCTGCTCTTTCCATTCCCAACACTGGAGAAAGCATTCCCCTGTCCACAGGATGAAAACAGTGAAGGAGAGCTGGCTCTTACAGTCCCTGTCTGCATTTAACCTACCCCTCTACCACAGGTAAAGAGACGACTGCATTTCTAAATCAAGAAGGAATCATAGGCTCCATGCATTTGCTGGTTTCATTGCTCCTTTCAGCATTGCAGAAAGATGTTGGGCAAGGCTTTTCCTGTGATGTCCTCATAAAAACAGAGTCAGGGGCCCCATGCGGGTGTATAGTAGGAGAATGGCAAAAAAACAGATGTTCATATTGAATATTAGGAACAGCTTTTTCACCATGAGGACAGTCAGGCAGTGGGACAGAGGCCCAGAGTTTCTGCACTCCAGGGAGTGCTTGACGGCTTTCAAGACCCAGCTGGATAAGACCCTAAGCAACCTCACATTGTTCAGAGATGATCCTGCTTTGGCCAAGTTTTTGGGAGTGAAGATGCCCAAAGTCCTTCCCAACCTGAATCATCCCACGATCCTACACACTTTGAACGTCTTCTTTTCCAGGAGAATGGAAGAGAAGTCCCTGAGTGCTGTTCATTGAAGACTGTAATCTCCCTACTGCATGCTATTGCTCAGAAAGACAAGCTTCACTGTGCATGGACTTGGTCTCCTGCTCCTGCAGAAGTGTATTGCCAGAGATTTTCCTCTCTACCTGAAGAATGTTGAGGTAATCATACTGTTGAAGGAGAAAGCAGAGGTTTATTTTGTCTGATATATCTGGGAAGGAAGGGAGAACAAGGAGAAGCCAACTTAGTCCAAGTCATTACAACCCCTAGAACCAGTGAATTCAGCAGAAGTTAGGAGAAGAAAATATAACCTCTCCTTGCTTTTTACGTTTCTGTAGAAAGAGGCTCACTGCTCCCACACATAGCAAGGACTTTGGGCTACAACTACAAAAGGTACAAATGCATCCTTACACAAATGAGAATGCAAGTATTGCTCTGAGGTGTTTAGCAAGCACTTTCTTGTATGCATATGGTTTCTGAGAAAAGCTTGACCGTTCTTTACAATTATCTTATCCATAAACTCTTGCATCAACACAGTGCAAAACCCAGTGAGGAAAAACCAAATAAAGCTTCAAAAAGCCATTTCTGAAATACACCCTATCACTCATTGCATCACTTTAAGTGAGAAATTACATTGGTTGGATGTTAACTTCTAGTCATTGCCTTGAATAGGACCATCAGGTAGCCTGTCTGTCTTCTGAGGACATTCAGCGTTTCTACCCTGTCTAGAAAAGATTGGCCCATTGCCATATTTCTGTTGCACTGAAAAATGACAGACACCTGGTTTTAAAAGAAAGATTAGATAACTGCAGTAAGATCACGAGAGCAGAGGTAAAAGGTCATTCTTCAGCTGCTGCAGAGCTGAGCAGCATGATTGCAAGCCCTGTGCCCAGGCCTGTCCGTGTTTCCTGTGTGTGTGTCCTGCGTGCATGTGCCATTCCTTGTAGTTGCTGTTGAGCAGAAGGAGTCCAAGAAGGTGACAGTTCAGGCTGCATATCCCAGAGCTCTGCCATGCTGAGTATTGTTACTATTATGTGAAGCGCTACTTTGTTGGTATGTCCTTGAATAGGCATTAATACTACTTTGAGCAGGTGCTAAGGAGTACTTAGCAGGTCAGAGGAGGTTTTCTCTCTTAATCTGAGGAGTGTTACCTTAATTCCAAATTATTCCAAATAACATCAAAATCTGAAGTGCCCTTTCAAGAGGTATTCAGCACACAAAAGAAAGTTGTTTTCATGTTCTCTGGGCAGAGTTTTTCAGCAAAATTGTGGACTACCTGGGGAGAATGTCTGATTCCTTACTAGTTTGGCAACAAGGAAAACAGAGGGGAATTTTAATGTACACAATGTAAAATCAGAAATGAGGTCCATACTGTTTAATTAAGGCTTGGTTTCATCAAAACAAAAATCCCTATGCTCCAAAAAACAGTGTCAGTGTTCAGAAAGGGACCTATTCCACCACTGTACTCATGAGCGCTAAAACTGGTCATGGCCTTGGAATTACCATAGTGAAGTCATCATCATTTTGGGTAACTATGAATCAAGTGATATTTGATGTAAGCCTGAAAGATGACCCCTCCAGTGCTTTTCACAGGTTTCTGTGATGAGAAATACTTCAGGATTGCATTAATGTACTCTGCATTTTTAACTTCTCATGCAAAGTATCTGCGTACTGTGAGGTAGAGTGAAAAGATGGATTTATACTGTCTCTTAAACAGATGGGCCAGACTCTGGTCCTGACTGCAGATTCATGAATCTCTTCATATTCATGTAAAATGGAGGTCAGATGCAAAGAAAATGTAGCAGGGTGTGGCTCAATACTTCAGGACTCATTTCTCCCATCTCAACACTGCTGTTTGAGAAAATTGGACTAGTGTAAATAAATGTAAACCCTCTACAAGATCATCACTGCACATGTCTCCAGAGGGGTTTCCACTGTGGGATGCCTTGTGAAGTCTCTCTTGAATGTGGATCAGTGCAGGAATATTATCACTATAAAAGCAACCAGATCTGTAGGTCTAAACACTGGAGGAGACATGGATTTTCACTATTACAGAAGCCTCCTTTTGCTGTTTTGGAATTTGCAAACCTACATGTTATACAATAAACCAAATACATTAAATAATGCATTGTTTATATTGCAACAGTACCTAGGAGTTGTCGGACTCTATTGGGGTAGGCATTGTGCAAAACCAAAATAAAGTGAGAAATCCTAATCTTTGTGCTCTGCTCCCCTGTGATTTTTCATGCTCTAGACAAGACAATAACTACAGACAATAGATGGGGAGTACAAAGACATAGTGAGAAATTATCCCTCAGCTTCTTACCCAAAGTGGTGTGAAGCAATCCTAAGGTTAATGCAAGCAAGGCCTGCAGCTCTGTAATAGGTCTGATATTGCTTCCAATAAAGCAAAAATTGCTTGAAAGAGGGAATAATCCAAGGAGAACCAAAGCAGAAATGAGAAGGATAAAACTAGAAGAGGAAGATGAAAAACCCAAACTCAAAACACAAACCCCAAACAAAACAGAAAACAAAATACACAAGGCAGAGGAGGCAGAAAAATAGAGATGGTAGCTTTATAATTTTTAAGGCTCAGATGATGCTGTGACGTGACTCTAACTGCTGGTAGAAAATTATACGTAAAATCCATAATTTTTGCTTTTTATCTAAAAAGGTGAATGAAAAAAAGGCAGAAGCCTATTTCAGGTGGTATGCCAGTTTTGTGGTGATTAACACGTGTCTGCTGCACTACAGATAAGTGAAGACTTGTGGCACATCCCCCTGCTTTTGACATGGTACATTTTCTACCTTATGAACTGGCTCACACTTGACATGATCTGGAAAACAGGCTCAAATTTGGAGAGCTGGAGCCTCCTCTGCTCCTTTGTTGCCTCCTTCTTCCTTGACTAATAAACATTGTTGATTTTAACAGACTGGCTTTTTGTGCTTGTGTGCTATATTTTATGTTTGTGATGACTTCATAGCAAATCACCTTTGACGTCTGTCAGTTACCTCACACCATACAATGCAGGTCTGCCCATTCAGAGTCTCACAAATCAACTCCTTCTTGTAATTTTGCATTTATAGAAGTCAAAGCACACACATTCATATGGATGATGTCCAAAACTTTGTGTATAGCAATTGTCAAAATCTTGTGGATGCTGATGTTACAAAGACTACTGTAGCACAATTTCAGAGCATTGCCATATATTAAGGCATCTCAAAATAGGTGTAAATTCTTTTATCCATCTTGAACATAACATTTTTGTTGATATTTTAGAAAATATATTTAGAAATTATGGGACCATTTCCTTTTTTGTAAGAAAAATGAATCAATATGCACTGAATGGCTTTCTGCAAGTTTCTCAATTGTTATTGTATTTGTATCACGTTTAACAATGAGATAGACTCAAGACAACTAACTCAGTGGCTTTATAGATTGAAAACAGAGGCAGCAGCTTCTTACACTCAATTCATTCTATTAAAACCTACACTAACTCGGTTGAGATTTTTCCGAAGAGAAAATTTTGTCTCTTTAAAGAAGAAAATGGTCAGCTATTGAATAAAAGAAATGAACAGCCTAGTGTTTTCTCAGCATTATTCAAAAAATAGGCAATTTTAAACCCTGTGGCATAAGTTAGTCTGATTCTTTACATTCCCAGTGTGGGAAACAGTGGGAACAGAAAGAAAGAGGCTCTTTCAAAGTGTAATTCAAAACAGGAGTCTAAATTAGGCTATTTACTCTTCATATCTTTTATATATATGCCCACTTGCAGAATTGTAGGCCTGGAGATGTGCCTCAGGGTCACTGAGCTCAGTCTGGGCTGTGGCAAACAGATCCCCTGTAATCCTCCTAAAACAGGACACTCCCAAGTTCTTACCCTTTCTTTGGGATAACCCAGCAGCTTCCAGGTTAGGAGCCACCTTCTGATTTCCAAACTGAATTTTGACCTAGCCAGTATGTGCCCATCTGCTGCTCTGCCAGCAGTCATTTGGCTTCAGGTTACACATGCCCTTGGCTCTGGTGTCACCTCCTCCAGTACAGTAACAGCCAGCAATGGTGTGTCCTGCATTTCGTAATTGCCTGGATGCAAGGAGTGAATGGCAGAGCTGATAATAAACTCTTTTATCTTCTGTAAATGGAGACAAGCAAAGGGCACTTGCAAAACCTGCAATTTGGATTGAAGTCCGATTGCATCTGTGTCTCAAAAGAGCTAAGGAACAGCCTCAGATAAAACGGTTTTTTATTTCATATGTAAAAACAAGGTGAAAGAGAAAGAGTTCAAGACAGACTCCATTTTTTTGTGGCCCTGGTATCAAAGGAGTAAAAAACAATTAGAAAATTAAGTTAGCAATAAAGAGGAAGGCAATTACAGAAAGTTTTCTGAGAGAAGACCTTATTTTTTTTTCCTGACAGCCTTCATGTTTGATCGAAAAATGGAAT